GAATAATCGCCGGACAGTTAAAGCGAAGAGCATAGCGTTGTGTACTATAATAATTGCTTCTATGTGCAAAATGAAGAACCAAATGCAGAAAAGGGAATGGTGCAAAGAGTGGTTAGGTCGAAGAAAAGTATTGGGAAGTCATGCCACGATTTTACGTGAACTGCAAGATGGACATGAGCAAGACTTCACCAATTACGTGAGAATGGACCCCAACACATTTTACAAACTTCTAGCGAAAGTGGAATCATATATAAAAAAACAGGATACCTATATGAGGGAGGGTATATCTGCAGAGGCTCGTCTAGAGGCAACGCTCATATATCTTTCAACTGGGTGCACCTACACGTCACTTCAGTATAGAACAAGGATATCAAAACAAAGTTTGTCTGGCATAATACCTGCAACTTGGCAAGTTATGTATGAAGTACTCAAGGAAGATTACTTGCAGGTGAGATTTGTAGTACATAAAAATTCATTGAGTAATGTTAGAATTATGATATGCATAGACAGGAAGCTATGGGACTAGAGTGAGGAGAGCAGCAGGAACGAAGAACACACATGAATGTCCTCTACACAATACATAAACAATCTCCCGTTTATTGTCACGTCAATAATGAACAGTACATTGCATAAGCTTATTTGGTTATACACTGGACCAAGCTGGGAACATATACGTATCACATTTGTAGTACTTAACTCAGGTTTTACAAAGTGTTAGCATACGTTGTGTCACCATCTCTGTTCATACCTCCCCGAGGTCAGCGGTGGCGTAGTGATCAGCTGTTTTTGAGTCACGTGAGGTTCCAATAATAACACGTGTCTTGTATTGCAGGCTTGTGTAATGTTGAATATTATTGACAATGTTATAGGAATGTCGGTTTTCCGGTTTTATCGATTATTAATAATGAAAATTATATTAAAACATTAATATTTGTGAAGGGGTCCCAGGGTCAACTCGTTTGTCTGGCAGAATCGTCGCTCCATATCCGGCAGCAAACCACCAGGCAGGCGGACCGTGATTTCGCTCAACGACGGGCACGGGCACTACGCTGGTTTGCCCGATAACGGGCATTTAGCGCGTGCCCGCTGGGCACTGCTCGATCGTGTGGACGGGCCTTTAGGGATAGCAATTTAAAGTGTCACTTGATGAATTTATCAGGAGAAACTTTTTGTATACATACTGTAATGTAAAATATAGGAATTACCAGTAATGGAGAGCAACTGGAGAAACTATTGAAGTTGAAATATCCAAAGAAGATGCTTGCACAGAGGAATTGTACTTCTCGGGAATCACTGTTTTAAAAGTGTAGGGGTATCGAGAAATTAAAGTTGTCTAGCACTCAGGATGGAAGGAAACTCTAATGTGGTTTTCTTGTATAATATATATAAGTTATATGATAGACAGTCTGGTGCTGGAGATGCCGTGTGGTGGGGAGCAGCTCAGTAGAAGACGTTAGGGAGTAGCGTGTTGAAGGAGGTAGATGTGCAGGAGCTTCGTTAGAGAAGGTGTTGCCTGTTGCTGGCCTCCTGGTTGAATGAATTGTTAACAGCGTGGAGCTTGCTGGAGGAGATGTTGCTTGTTCAGGAAAATGGGCAGAATGAGAGTTGGTTGGTGAGGAAGCTCAGAGAAGGACATGCTCGCTGGCGGGAGCGAGGACCGCCAGGCAGGCGGAGGAGAGACGAGGGTCGCCAGGCAGCGACAGAGGAGGAGGTGTTGCTTGTTCAAGAAGATTGGTCAGACTGAATCTCAATAGAGAGACAGAGCTTATATACACCCGGCAGCAGCCGCCAGTCCTCTATGAGTCATGTTGGGAAAACCCGAGAAGTAGCCGGTGACTAGTTTCGTTGCTAAGATACGGTAACATCTGGGGACAGCTCTCGCTTGGTTGCTAGGGGAGGCGGCACATTGGAATGCGGATACGCTTGGTGGTGGGCTGCTACGCAGTTGTAGGGGAGAATTCCACTACAACAGACTGTTCGACACAGAACTGACCCACATTGTGTTTACAGAAGAGGTTATAAGAAATAAACTGTCAAAGCTAAAGGTCCATAAGAGTCCCGGGCCTGACACGGTGCATCCTAGAGTGCGAAGAGAGTTGTGCAACGAGCTTGCCGAGCCCCTGAAGATCCTGTTTTGTAAATGCCTGGCTGAACAAAAGGTCCCCAATGATTGGAAAATGGTTTATGTGAGTCCTATCTTCAAGAAGGGCGAGCGTCACTCCACGAACAACTATAGACCGGTGAGCCTGACCAGCATAGTATGTAAAGTACTTTAGAGCATTATAAGAGATGCCACTATGGAACATCTACTACGAAACACGGTTTTATGCCGGGGTGCTCCTGCTTAACACAATTACTCAAGGTATTGAATATTTGGACCCATATTCTGCAACAGGGTGGTATTATCGACAATATATACCTAGATTTTACCAAGGCTTTCGACAGCGTACCCACGAAAGGCCGAAAATTAAACTGGAAGGGTACGGGATTCGGGGAAATGTCTTAGCGTGGATAGAAGACTTTCTGCATGACCGCAAGCACTGTGTGATGATTAATGGCACGAAATCACCATGTTTACCCGTCACAAGCGGAGTACCACAGGGCAGTGTATTGTTTGTTTGCTTCATAAAGGACATGCTTGAAGCTGTACAATCTTCCATAAAAATGTTTGCCGATGAGGCCAAGTTATTTCGGGAAATTAAGAACCAAGCAGACTGTGAAGAGCTGCAGAAGGATTTCTGTGAGCTCCAAGAATAGTCGAAGATATGACTGCTAAGGAGGGGTATCATATGTCCCAACGGGACGAAGAAGCTGCATTAATTGAGACAATGTGAAAAGGACCTCGGCGTGTATGTTTACAATGAGCTGAAGTTCTCGGGCCATTGAGAACAGAAGGTAAATCAGGCAACAAAATTATTAGGTCTTATACGAAGGTCGTTCAGATATCAAGACGTTCAGTTCTTCGTAGCGATCTTCAAGAGTGAAATGCTTCCCCATCTGGAGTACTGTCACCCCGTCCACGAGATATGCTAGGGACTGTCAGTTGATTGAAAATGTCCAAAGGAGGGCCACTAGACTGGTGCCTGCACTAGGGCACCTCAGCTACCCTGAGAGATTGGAACGTCTGAACTTGCCTAGCTTATACAGTGTACTATAGACGGGTAAGGGGAGACCCAATTGAGGTGTATAAGCATATCGAAGGGCACTATTCGGTCTAGTTTCCTTATCTGGAGCTGGCGGACGCTCGCCCCACATGGGGTCACAGCTCAGGGTTGAAGAAGCCGCAAGCCCAGAAAACTGTGAGGGGTAACATTTTCGGAGTGAGAGTTGTGAACTCTTGCAACAATCTGCCAGAGAGTGTTGTGACCTGACTTGACCAACACTGGGGCAGGTTCAAATACATTCAGGAGCCAGTGCATGCCCAGTACTTGCCAACAGTGCGTAACAGAGACGTGACCGACCGCCCAAGCGGCTATCGAGCAGTGGTGAAGAGGATTAAAGTAAAAAGTGAAAAGTTAATTTGTATAGTTTGGAATATACTGGGTAATATATATAGTTTAGAATATACTGGGTAATATATATAGTTTGGAATATACTGGGTAATTTGTATAGTTTGGAAGATACTGGGTAATTTGTATAGTTTCTAAATAATATTACCCTTCAACCGTACAGATTCATACCATAAACAGTTTTGGCGTGGTGGTGTGTTGGTTCAGTGGGACGGTACTCGATGTTGATGATGGAGGCCTCGGGTACGACTCCTTGACTGTCTCTTAGGAGACATTGAGCAGGTCGAGGCACAGAGGCAGAATTCTCAAAGGTTCGTAAGTGAAATTTGTTTTTATCTGAAGTATCTGTGTTGGGTGGCGATGATGACCTAGCAAATGTTTCGTAGGGTAGATGTATATTAAGTATTTATTGTTGCACTTTGTTTATTTTAGATTAATGGGTAAAATTGAGGGTAGGGGGGGGGGCAGGGGAAGACAGAGACTGGGGTGGATGAATCATTTTAACAGTTGTCGTCCCCGGAGAGATACAGCATCTAGAAGATTGATAAACACAGCCCAAAAACATTTAGAGTAAAGGGTCGTGGGTGCCAACCCTCAGACATGATGGTACTTTCATTATATTATGCTAGTGTCTGTTCGTCCGTCTGGTTTTCTGCAGAATTTACCTTATCCGAAACACAAAACGCGGGTGTCTCGTTTAGACAATAATTGTTATATAACTTCACAATCGGTTAAGATATTACAGTGATTGAAGAAGCCACACTTTCAGAAAACTTTCATGACAAACTTGTTTTGAGTGAGAGTTGTGAACTGGCGCAGGTAGGCCTACAGATACAGTCTGGAACCAGTACATACCTATAGTATTTGCCAACAGTGAGTAACCGTGAGTCATGACCAAGCGCCCAAGTGGCTAACAGGCTGATCAGTGGCGAAGAGAATAAAGTAAAGTAAATAAAGCTGTGTGGATTCAGGTCAGCAAACACTTTTGGAGGTTCTGCATTACTGTTTAAAATACTGCGTTAACATTAAAAATATTCAATTAGTGGTGAGCTCACGCAAATGTATTTGTGTAAGCGGAGTACATCCTGTTTGTCAGTGTCGGGGAAATCCGTGATTACATTCCCGACACAGTTGTAATGGTCACATCAATTGTCAGTGTAACAAATCGAGGTTTAACTCTCTATCAAATTCTTACTAAATATTGTTCGAAAAATTACTGTTATAATGTTAATATTAGTGTTTCCCTTAATGTTAAGCTCTATTAAATTCCCGTTAAGTATAAGACGAAAACGTAAAGTGAATTGTGATCAAGTTGTGGTGGTCGACGATAGATGGCGCTTTATTGAAGAAAAACAATCCTCCCCACCGTCCTTAGTCTCACACACAAGTAAACAATTAAAACTAAACCACCACCAGTGAGTTAAACACGGATAGAGAGAGGGCAAGAAAGAAAGGGGGATAGAAGGAGATAGAGGAAAATTAAGAGAGCAAAGATAGAGAGAGTATTGGCCTTACACACACACACTAGTCTACTAGAGTGAATGAATGCACAGAATGAGATAAAGAAGATGAATAGAGAAGAAAAGCATAAGATAAGATAACAGGATGACCACAGGGGATGAAGACCGGAAATTAATACACACACAGACACTCACGATAAGCCACTGAAAAAGAACAACATAAACATCCGCAGGTCAGCAGGAGTCACTGAATGTCTACTTGAGTCAACTGATATTAAATTCTCCACTACAGTTAACTTAAGTCACGAAAGATCAAGAACAATATTGTTAAAAGAGGTAATGGATCACCTGAAGAATCATCACCCCAGCTTATTTCACCTAACGATTAAACCACCCTAACCTAACTTAACCTAACCTAAACCTATTCTATCCTAACCTAAATCTAACCTAACATATCCTAACCTAACCTCATCCTCTCACAATAGTTTTAGGGTGGTTTAATCGTTAGGTGAAATAAGCTGGGGCGATGATTCTTCAGGTGATCCGAAAATAGTTCTCCATAATAAAAAAAAAGAAGAAAATAAAATAGAGTAACGCCGTGACTCGATCTCGGTCCTCTAAAATAGCAAACAGAAAGCTTATCCACTGGACCGCAGTTCGGCCATAAATTTGACGTTTTTACGATATTTGAACGTATAATCATGTTCGAAGCTTCAAATGCTTCAATGAAGCTTCGTGACGTCACTCTCAACCTTCATATATAAAGTCTCGACGAACTCGTTTTCGGCCCATTCTTCACTCACTAGCTGCAGCTGACAGGGAGGTAAGACGCCCCACACCCCGCACCTCTAGTCTCCATTATATACGTGTAATTTTTTTCCGACTGTCTACAGTCAATATGGCCAAGAGAAATGGTTATTCTTTTGGTTAGTGTTTATATGTACTTAATTATGGCGTAATAAATGCTGATTTAAGTAACAAACTTACCAGCCGGTTGTTGCAGTTCACTTGGCTTCTAGAGACGTATCCCCAAGTTTCACTGGGCCGTAAGGCCTATGATACCTACTTTGCAGCTTAAACAAATACATTAATATGGGTTAGTATTATATTAAGTGTTTCTCTAACGTCTAACCAGTAATTTATTAACGTTTTAAAACTTTTAGGCAAATATACCGCCAAATGAGCCATAACAACCGAGCCGAAACTATAAACCGGTGGCGAGTAACAAGCGTAAACCGCACATCAGTATTTGCGTTATAATTAACCAGTAAGTGAGTGCAATGACGAGATTGGGTGAAATTATTGTATTTATTTTTTTAATTTCACATTTTCCCTCTTGCTTCGAAGCCCAGCCCACTTTTGGCGGAGCCGGGTGGTCATAACTCAATAGTTACGCATTTCATCTAACGTTCATCACCAAAATATAACTGTTTTGTGGAATTACGATACAATATTTTTCACTGGCTAGTTCTTTGCTTCCTCTTTAACTAGGATTTCTGGGAGTTGAAACCGAATTTATTACGGGTTTTAGCCGGGCGAAGCGAGGCATGCTAGGCGAGGCAGGCAAGAAGCCAGACAGGAAGCGAAGCGAGGCGAGTTGAGGTAGGGAGCCGGGCGAGGCAAGGGAGCCGGCGGAGGGCGAGGTTGAGGGGTTTCAGAATATTTGTACAGTGTATATTAAATTTTTAAAAGTGGACAACCATGGATTTTAGCATCGGAAAAACACATTGGTCAACAACCAAAACGCACCAAAACTAAACTAACGTAACGTAGCCTAACAACGTAACATAGCCTAACCTGGAGGTTCGTTGGTTGTCTGCTTGTAAAAAAAAAATACCGGGTTCCTAAAATAAATGTTAAGATGTATATAAAGACACCGTTAAAATGTATTGGTAAATAAGGCCGTAACCATCTAATTAACCTCTGGAAAATGTTAAAATGTTTGGCTCGCCTGAAGATTCATCCCCCAGCTTATTTCAACTGAAGATCAATTTAACCTAAGCCAATCTACGTATTACAATGTGTTGGCGAATCTTTCTTTTTCAGATCATGGAATGACTGCAGATTCAACTACAGTACAAAACCCTCTGTTATTGGTGTGGTGCAGTATGTGGTCAGTGTGGTGCAGTATGAGGACACAAGTGAAGTGTGGTGCATTATGTGGGGACAACAGACCACGAGTGAAGCTTCTCACAATACACAACGGTGTTCCTTCAGGTCAATTTTAACGTTTTGTGTGAAGGTGTGGGTGTGCGTAGCTTGCTATGGTATCATTTAATGTTTGGTGAGGGGTTGTGGGTGGATGTTGCTTCATGTGGTGTCGTTTAATGTTTTGTGAGGGTGTAGCTGGGTGTGGCTTGTTGTGGGGTCGTATAACGTTTTGAGAGTGTAGGTGGGTTGGGCTTGTGGTGGGGTCATTTAACGTTTTGCGAGAGGGTGTGGGGTGTTGACACTTAAGGGGGTGTAGTGTACCGTTTGTGGCCAGTTGTCAATTCTCTTTAGTTGTCTATTATCTCTTTGTATGGGCACACAAACGTACGTACATGTAGATACCTTCACTCAGGAATGAGGTTGGATAGAAACTCACGATGTGCTTCCTGTATATATTGTTGTACAGTGCAGTACTTAGGAGTGACTAGGTGAGGAGCTGAGAGAGATGTTGCTGGTCCAGTAGCTGAGTGTAGGATGATCTCCCTGGGCAGGCGTAGCCGTATTTATACAATTTACCAGGATCAGGATCTGGGCTGCGCGTAGCGAGCGGACCAATCACAGCGGCTCAAGCGTAAGGTGTGAAACGCTCTGATCCTGAACTGGAGGTTGATGGTCGAGACTAGGTCGGCGATCGTACCCCTACGTCCTCTGCATAGACCTAGTCTCTCGGCGTAGCTGGCTGTACGCTGATTGGCTGGTCGGAGTGCGGCCGGAGCTCAGTTGGGAGTTGTAGGGGAGAGTAGCCACTACAATACTCCCCCTCCCCTCCCGGCGCGGCGGGAGGCTGGATGTTGTCCGGGTTGTGTCCCACACATAACACATACCGGGCAGGTGTATGTACGACTCGGCCGCTACGTGTAACAACTCCCTCCAGTGACACAAAACCTGTGGGAGAATTAGGAGGAGAAAGAGGGTTTGGGATTAGAGGAGGTTGTACAAGCAGTGGTTGTTGTGCTCCTGCTGCTGCAGGGGCTGCGTCAGGAGGAGGGTCCATGGCAGGAGCAGGTTCTACGATAGGTGCAGGTTCTACGATAGGTGCAGGTTGTATGTCAGGAGGAGGGTCCATGGCAGGAGCAGGTTCTATGTTAGGAGGGAGGTCTAATGCAGGTTCAGGTTCTATGACAGGAGGAGGGTCTATGATAGGTACAGGTTCTATGATAGGTGCAGGTTCTATGTCAGGAGGAGGGTCCATGGCAGGAGCAGGTTCTATGATATGAGGAAGGTCTATGCCAGGAGCAGGTTCTACAGCAGGAACAGGGTTTACTTGAGGGTGAAAAGAGGGTGCCCAGAAATGTCGTGGGCGTGGTGTTGCTGCCGGTGGTAACTGCGGGTAGACTGGTGCAGGCGTAGTTTGTTGATGGTGCTGCTGGACTGGGGGCCCAAAGGGTAAGGTGGCCGGTTTGACTCGGTCTATGCTGACGGTGTCATGTCTGCCATTCCGGATAATCGTCAGGAACTTTGCTGAACGGGTAACCACCTGGAAGGGTCCATCGTAGGGACGTTGTAATGGGTTGCGATGAGCATCACGCCTGACGAAAACATACTCGGCTGTGAGTAGTGCAGGAGGGATGTATTCAGGGCGCCGAGGAGGCTGGCGTGGAGTAGTAGCTCTGAATGCAGAAACTGCTTGTCGTAGTTTTTGGAGTAAGTCGTGACGAGCGGCTGGAGTGGTTTGGTGAGGGTTAGGAGGGAGTGAGAAATCCCCAGGTAGCCGAAGGGGCTCGCCTAGTGTAAGATCTGCTGGGCTACAGTCCATATCCTCCTTGTGTGACGCACGGATGCCGAGGAGCACTAAGGGGAGCGCATCAGTCCAGCTGTAAGGGTCGTGCTGTGCCTTGAGTGCGTCCTTTAGCTGCCGGTGAAAACGCTCTACCATGCCGTTGGCTTGAGGGTGGTATGCTGTAGTGCGTTGTCTAGACGTGCCGAGGAACTGTAGGAGGTGCTGCCAGAGTTGTGACTCAAACTGGACTCCTCGGTCAGTGATTACGGTTGCGGGGGGGCCGAAACGGGAAACCCAACCGGACATGAAGGCGCGGGCAGTAGTCTCTGCTGTAGCATTGGGCATGGGAATTGCTTCTGTCCACCTGGTGAAACGGTCGATGCAGGTGAAGATGTAGGTGCTGCCGTAGGATGATGGAAGAGGTCCCACGATGTCGAGGTGTACTACTTGAAAACGTCCTTTGGGAATAGGGAAAGTATGTAAGGGGGCCCGTATGTGACGATGTACTTTGGAGGATTGGCAGGCCAAGCACTGGGCAGCCCATTTCTTAGTATCGGACTTGATGCCGGGCCAGACGACACGTTGAGTGAGGAGGCGCTGGGAGGCCCGCCCACCCGGGTGGCTGAGACCATGGATGCGGTCGAACACCGCGCGGCGGTGGACATGAGGCACGAACGGTCTAGGATGCCCACAGGATATGTCGCACCACAATTTTGTCTTTGTGCCAGGAACAGGGAGTTCTTGGAGTGTGAGGCTTGAGGGGGATGACTTGTATTTTGCCAGCTCTTCGTCCTTCTCTTGAGCCGCGGCTAGCTGCCCATAGTCAATGGGTGGAGATGAGGGAAGAATGTTGGATACGCAACGAGAGAGGGCGTCGGCGATCTCGTTGTGGCTGCCTCTAATGTGTTGGACGTCACTGGAGAACTCTGAGATGTAAGCCAAGTGGCGCAGGACACGAGGTGTATGTGACTGGGAAGCTGAAGCGAAGGCGTGGACGAGGGGCTTGTGATCAGTGAAGATGGTGAACTGACGGGCCTCGAGGAAGTGCTGGAAATGTTTGACAGCCAGGTATATGGCCAGGAGTTCTCGATCAAAGGCGCTGTACTTGAGGTGTGGTGGTTGAAGCCGTTGTGAGAAGAAAGCAACGGGCATAAGAATTCCGTTGATCTCCTGCTGTAAGACGGCGCCCACTGCAGTAGAAGAAGCGTCTGTTGTGAGAGTGGTCCGGGCGTTAGGTGCGGGGTGGGCCAGGAGGGTGAGGCGTGTAATGTGCTGTTTGACAGTTGTGAATGCCGTGGCAGCCTCTTGAGTCCACACGAGAGGCTTGTGAGACTTCTTTGGGCGTCCCTTGAGAAGGTCGTGTAGGGGGGCTAGGACGGTGGCAGCTTTGTCAATGAAGCGGTGGTAGTAGTTGACTAAACCCAGGAATTCTCTGAGTTTCTTCACCGTTTCAGGTTTGGGGAACTCCCTAATCGCGGTTATCTTCTGTGGTAGGGGTTGTATGCCACTGGGCGAGACTCTGTGACCGAGGAAATCGATGGCCGAGGTTCCAAAGACGCACTTAGCAGGATGAACTTTCATGTTGTTGTTCTGCAGGCGTTGGAGAAGGAGTTGTAGGTGGTGGCGGTGCTCGGCAGGCGTCGAAGATGCAACGAGGATGTCGTCAATGTAGACAGTGACAAAGTCGAGGTCGCGAAGCATATGGTCCATGTACCTCTGGAAAGTCTGTGCTGCATTGCGTAAGCCAAAACTCATGAAAGTGTACTCAAAGAGTCCAAACGGGGTGGTGATGGCTGTCTTCTGGGTATCTGCCGGTGCTACTGGGATCTGGTGGAAGGCACGCTCCAAGTCGATCTTCGAGAAGATAGTCTTGCCATGAAGTTTGTGGTGAAAGTCCTGGACATGTGGAATAGGGTACCTGTCAGGTTTGGTGACGAAATTCAGGGCTCTGTAGTCGCCACACACCCTCCACTCGCCGGGCGTTTGCTTAGGAACCATGTGAAGAGGCGATGCCCAGGGACTCCTTGAAGGGCGAATGATGCCATCTTGCAGTAGTTTGTTGAATTCTACTTTGGCTGTGCACAGGAGCTCAGGGCGCAGGCGGCGAGGGCGTGAAAAGACTGGTGGTCCTTTGGTTTCGATGTGGTGGAAAATTCCCGACGTAGGTGGTGGGGGTAGGGAGACTCGGGGTGAGAAAAGCTCCTTGAATTCGTTGAGTAGGGAGGAGAACTCGTTGGAAGGCGCAAGACAGGTGATAGTGTCGGTGTGTCTGGCACGAGAACCCTGGATCTTGCGTGCTGTAGGCTCATGGATGAGGCATAGATGACTTGGTTTGACGCCGAGCTTGTGGAAGGTGAGGAAGTCGAAACCAAGGATGGGTTGAGACACGTCTGCTATCACGAATAACCAACTCAGAGTCTTGGGCAGGCTGAGGTCTAAAGCGAGGGTGAGTACGCCGTAGGAGGCGATGGGGGTACCGTTGGCAGCGAACAGGTCATAAGAAGGTTGCTTTGACTTGTCTTGTAGTGAGGGAGGGATGAGGCTTACCGATGAACCTGTGTCGATGAGGAACTTCTTGCCAGAGGTGCGGTCGGTGACGTACAGTAATGAGACGCCTGAAGGAACGGGGGCTGAGGCGTCTACCAGCCTCCGGTGTTGCCGTTTCCCGAATAGGTGCAATAGGGCTCACAGTTTCGAGCATTGCGGCCGAAAGTCTGGTGATACCAGCAGAGGGTATGGTTGTTGTGCTGGGGGCTGGCTGCTGTGTGTCGGAAGTTGTAGGGTGTGATGCGTGAGTCAGGAACTGGCACAGCAGCGGGTAAGGAGGAGCAGAACTGCTCAATGGTGTCCATCCTGCGGTTCAAGGTTTGTAACAGGTCCTTGATATCTTGTGAGGTATTGCTCGGCTGAGGTGTGTTGACCCGGCTTGCAAGTTCGGTGGGAGGTACTGGTGTGACCGAGGCAGCAAGGGGTGCAGAAGTGCACTGGTTGAAAATTCTGTCTGCCGCAGTTGCATATAGCTCAGGTGTCGTAGAGTAATCTACTGCGGACAGGATGTTGCTTACTTCTGTGGGTAGCTTTTGTGCGTGAAGCTGGCGCAGGATAGAGTCAGGAAGTCTGTCTGTGTACCGGGAGTTCACCCTGCACATCTCTTCCCAGAGATGTCCCGGAGTTGAGTTTCCCAGGGAGATGGAAGATAGGTTCTGCAGGATATTGGAGCGGGTCCGTTGGTAATGCGTTCTTAAGGCATCCCGCAGAGTGGCGAATTTGTTGTTCTCTGGAGGGTTGGAGATGATTTGTGAGACTTGTGTGGCGACTTCAGTGGGCAAGGAGCAGAGCAGGGCGCCGTACTTCTGCTCGTCTGTAGCTGTAGAGCCGATGAGAGCTGCTTCGACATGAACTAACCAGTCCTCTACGTTGTGGTTGAAGGTTGGTAGAGAGATCCGTCCGTCCATTCTTGCGGGAGTATATCGCACCTGTTAGGGAAGGATGAGGGATGGGTGCTTGTTCCGACCCCCTTCCGTCTTCACAATCTCCTGGGAGGGAGGTGTACACTTGCGGGGGGGACTTCGGGACGAATACACTTTTTTAGGGTGCAGGTCCTTCGGCCAGAACTAAAAAAACAAAAGAAAAATAGGAGAATAGGCAAAAGAGCTCAAACCACACTTGGAATATCGCACAATAGTTGCTCTCCAACTGTGATGTGGGTCACTCACAACGCCAGTGGGGAGAACAGACTAATGCGTTATAAACCTTACGATCGTGAGATGGTGTCGTTGTGGAGTAGTGGGTGGTGCAGGGAGGCGGTTGGCCTAGGCTGGCAGCAGGCAGGACGATCTTCTCAGCTCAAGTAGTAAGGCAGCAGAAAGGAGTGTGGTGTTCACGGCTCCGGGGGTCACCAATGTGGCGTACAGTATGTGGCCAGTTGTCAATTCTCTTTAGTTGTCTATTATCTTTAGTTGTCTATTATCTCTTTGTATGGGCACACAAACGTACGTACATGTAGATACCTTCACTCAGGAATGAGGTTGGATAGAAACTCACGATGCGCTACCTGTATATATTGTTGTACAGTGCAGTTCTTAGGAGTGACTAGGTGAGGAGCTGAGAGAGATGTTGCTGGTCCAGTAGCTGAGTGTAGGATGTCCTCCCTGGGCAGGCGTAGCCGTATTTATACAATTTACCAGGATCAGGATCTGGGGTGCGCGTAGCGAGAGGACCAATCACAGCGGCTCAAGCGTAAGGTGTGAAACGCTCTGATCCTGAACTGGAGGTTGATGGCTTGTACTAGGTCGGCGATCAGACCACGCCCCCTCTGTAGGTGACCTAGTCTCTCATGAGAGTTGGCTGCACGCTGATTGGCTGGTCGGAGTGCGGCCGAGCCTGCTGGGGAGTTAGGGGAGAGTAGCCACTACAGGGGCATGAGGGAGGGAAGGTCTAGTCAGCTGTAATAAACCTTGTGTATAGTGCATGAAGCAGTGTAGTACAGTACAGTACAGTACAGTATAGTGTAGTCGTACTGTATTGGTAAACTAATGTGGAGGTAATGATTTATGTAAACAGTTGGGGACAGTTTAAGTACATGTGATCTAGTTGCAAGTTTAATTTTCATTGTACGTAAATTACAACTTTAAACACGTTGCAGGTAACAGCTGATGTACGTGAAGGCCAATGGAGAAGTGACAGAACCTCGAGCAAGATTTAACTACCAGCATGTTACTTCAGCCTCATCAGTTAAGTTACTTGTACAATATATCTTGGCTAGTATCTTTATCCAATAAACCACTCGACACTGCTCCTACACTGGGCAGTGGAGGGGGTGTGTGGGGGGTGCCTTGCTGACTGTTTGAGGCCTAATAGGTCTGTGTGTAGACCTAGTGATCAGTGTGTGAGGCCTGGCGGACACTCTTGGAGGGCTATGGAGGACGATCTGTAGACAGACTGATATTAGAGTAAAATTAATATTAGTTGTAGTGACAGTAGAAATATACAGAACTGTATGCCTATTGATTATTAGTGAAAATTAGTAGCAGTAGTAAACATAGTAAGTTAAAAAAGTTGTTGTGGGTGGGTTTCAACTAACTTTACTAACCATAACCTAACCTAAGATAAACTATTCCAAGACATAAATTCAGTATTTTTTTGTCACTTACGTTAACTGATCATGAATTCATAAGTTAATTTTGAAAGAAGTTAAATTTGACTTTTGTAAATAATTAATTTTTGAAAAATTATGTACATTTGACGACAGTTTAACTACATGTTGTTTAGTGGTAGATGGATATTGTATGTTTAACATTCATTCTACATAAATGCCAACTTTAAACATGTTGCAGGTGACAGCTGATGTATGTGAAGGCCAATGGAGAAGTGACAGAACCTTGAGCAACATTTAACACCCAGCATGTTACTTCAGCCTCATCAGTTAAGTTACTTATATATATCTTGGCTATTATGGTCATCCCATAAACTACTCAACACCGTGCTTCTACACTCGGCAGTGGAGGGTGTGTGGGGGGCCTGGCTGACTGTGTGATGGAGGGTTCTGGAGGACTGTGTGTGAAGGAGGGCTCTGGAGGACTGTGATGGAGGGCTCTGGAGGACTGTGTGTGAAGGAGGGCTCGTGAGTACTGAGTGGACAGATTGGTCTTCGAGTAAAATTAATATTAGTTGTAGTGACAGTATAAATATACAGGACTACATGCCTATTGGTTATTAGAGAAAATTAGTAGTAGTAGTGGTAGTAGTAGTAAATACAGCAAGTAAAGCAAGTTGTTGTGGGTGGGTTTCAACTAACTTTACTAACCTAACTTAACCAGCCTAAGTTAATTAAACGTAATAACGTAGACTGAACCAAATCCGTAATAAGGTCACCGCGACCCGTAGCTGGGGACGTCAAAGGCTCGGTCGGATTGGTACACCGTCAATGACTCAGCTCATCTTGGAGGGAGGGGGGGGGGGTGGCGAGCTACCTCCCGTGTCCTGGCTGAACTGCGAGAGGGGCAACCACTGGTGTCCTGCCTCCCTGCGAGATGGTCGTTGATCTACCCGACCCGTCTTGGGACAACAACCACGGAGTCTAGCATGTGTAGGAGTCGATGGGGTCACTGAGCCCGAAGGCGAGATGAAGGTAACGGGCGCCTGGTGCGTCTTGGGCAGATCCTCAACTGGCTGCCTCTGGCCGTGCACGTGTGGCGTTTGCATGGTTGAGACCCTTTCCCCCCACTGGGAAAAGGGCCTTCCCCCGCGCATTACCACGTGAGTGCACATGTCGCCGCGCTTCTCTGGGCGCACACGTCGCCACCTCAGCTTGTTTGCAGCTGGGTGGGTGGAGCGGCCCAAAAAGCTCCCATCTCGCCTCCCCATTTTCCCTTCCTTCATATCTTTGAGTTATATATAAAAATAAGTGTGTTTATGTCTACTTAAATAAATTATATACAATATGCCTATATGCCTATCGATTGATTTTTATCCTAAGAGTTATCTGATAAAAATGTGAATTTATTAGGAAGGTACTGGTATGGAGGGTAGGACATGGAACACTATGAATTAGTGGTTTATTTGTAGTAATAATTATATAAACAAAATGACAACTCATAATTTATGGTCAAGTGAAAAAAAATTGTAGCTCAGTCGTATTTAATATTTGGTTAGGTAGGTTAAGTTAAAGTTAGGGTAGGTGAGGTTAGGTGAGGCTAGGCTAGGTTATTTCCATGTTTTGTGCCAGTTATTCACTGGCAATGGGGGGGGGGGCAATTGTACATGAACCAAGCTGTGCAGCTTTTTACAACCATGACGTGCACTAAGTCTGGGGCTGGTGCCCCCACACACTTGGCAAGCTCAAATATTCTGCAAGATAAGTTTTAAAAAGGTTTATGTTCAGTTTCTGAAGGGTCACCTCAAAAGACTTGTCAGAAGCATACCAGTATATATATATATATATATATATATATATATATATATATATATATATATATATATATATATATATATATATATATATCTCTCTCTCTCTCTCTCTCTCTCTCTCTCTCTCTCTCTCTCTATAGATAGATAGATAGAAGGTATGACTGTAGCCTTGTGACTAGCCTACAGTATTTTAGGCCTACTTCAAAATTTTTTTTTTCTGTGTTTTCGATCAACTGATGTAAGTGCACAACAGCATCGTAAAGTATAACCATGTTTTCGTACTCCATTTTTATGGCAAATTTACATTTTTTAAACTATATACACTCTTTGAATATTACTGTATTGTAAAATCCTACAAAACCCATCATACATTTCTTTTGTGATGCATATATGTACAGTAAATGATATTAGTCTGTTCTGCATCCCCTTTGGCCATAGGCATTGGTGATGAAAGCATTATAAAGGCCAATGCTGCTGCTATTGTTATACAGCATTAATTTCTTCTGTTTCTTTCAGAACTATAAAAACAGATATAGTAGACCGAAAGCTTAAAAAGTCAGGTGGTGGTCCACGAGAAAAAAAAATATCAAAAGCTTTAGAAGAAATTGCCTTAACAGCATCACTGATGAGGGCCGAGTTAGCAGTGGCTGGTGATTTTTACGAGACCTTCCGCAGTCACCCAGTAGATGAAGAAATAATTCCCTATAGAATGTGCAGATAGGTGAGAACATTTATTGATTTATACAGTTGTATGCATTCTCATTGATACCATTGCTCAATCTCCTTTGGCTGTGTAAAAGTCAAACGGCAGCAGTGACCTACCTTATACTGACTTTTTGCAGTTTTGCCTGTTCCAACCCCAGGGCCATCAACTGTGCTCACAAGTCATTGTTCCTGCCTCGACAGTGAATGCTCCTACCTCACCAGTGAATGCTCCTGCCTCACCAGTCATTGCTCCTGCCTCACCAGTCATTGCTCCTGCCTCACCAACACTGAAGCAGGTTCAGGTACATTCAGGAGCCTGTGCGTGAGTAACAGACGTGACCAATCGTCCAAGCGGCTAACAAGCCAATCAGTGGTGAATAGGATAAAAGTATATACATGCTGTTAGAAATTTATTTTCTTACATTTTACAATTAAATAATTTGATTTAAAGTAAATAAATCTACATTAATTTATTTTGTCAAAAATTTTCTTAAGTTAAAAAAGCCTTCAGAAGTATAGCGGCTAATATTTTGCTCACAAGTTGCCGCGCTTTTCTGGGTGCACACGTTGCTGTGCTTCTCTGGGCGCACACATTGCCGCGCTTCTCTTGGCGCACACATTGCCGCGCTTCTCTGGGCGCACATGTCGCTGCTCTTCTCTGGGCGCGCACGTCGCCACCTCAGCTTGTATGCGGCTGTGTGGGTGGAGCGACCCAAAAATGTTTGGGCGCGCCCCCACACGTGCCGTCGTCCAACGGGCGTGTTTCGCCTTGTAGTAGGTGACCGCAACCCGTAGCCGGGGACGTCGAAGGTTCGGTCGGATTGGCACCCCACTGCCGACTCTCTCAGCTCGTCTGAGTGGGGGGGGACCGGGGAGTTCCGCACGACTGGGGGCCACCGCCAGTATCCTGGCTGTCCTACGACAGTCGTAGAGAGGAGCGCCGCCTCCACCTCGACTGTGGGGGTTCGCTCTCGCGATGTGCAGAGGGTCGGTGATCCACCCGACCCACCTCGGAACACGGACCACGGAGTCCAGCGTGTGTGGGAGTCGATGGGCTCACTGAGCCTGAAGGCGAGATGAGGGCAACGGACGCCTGGTGCGTCCTGGGCAGATCCTCAACCAGCTGTCTCTGGCCACGCCCGCGCGGCGTTTGCCGGGTTGAGACTCCTTTCCCCCACCACAGTGGGGGAAAGGGTCTCGCCCGGCGTATTGCCGCGCGAGCGCGGTCGGGGTGGCTGGTTGGGGGTCTGCCCAGGACGCACCAGGCGCCTGTTGCCTTCATCTCGCCTTCAGGCTCAGTGAGCCCATCGACTCGCACACACGCTAGACTCCGTGGTCCGTGTTCCGAGGTGGGTCTGGTGGATCACCGACCCTCTGCACATCGTGAGAGCGAACCCCCACAGTCGAGGTGGAGGCGGCGCTCTTCTCTACGACTGTCGTAGGACAGCCAGGATACTGGCGGTTTCCCCCTGTCGTGCGGAACTCCCCCCTCCCCCCCACTCAGACGAGCTGAGAGAGTCGGCAGTGGGGTGCCAATCCGACCGAACCTTCGACGTCCCCGGCTACGGGTCGCGGTGACCTACTATGAGGTGAAATACTCCTGATTAGTCCGTGAGAAATCAAAGCCTCACACGCTTTGGTCTCTGCCATCGCTTCTCTGGGCGAACACGTTCCAGCAGTTTTTTCTCGTGCACGTGAGCTACGATTACAGTTTCCGTCACAGCATATGCTGCAGCCTTCAATGCAGTGGCCCATCGTGTCTTGACCGAGATTTATTCCACCAGTCAATGCGATAACAGCTCGTGGTTCAACATGACCGGGGTGCATGTCTCATTCTAGTACTCGAGCAAACTAAGAATAGTTCTTGCCACAAACTCGAAGCAAACAGGGTGACCCATTCTATCCTCACCTAACAATTGATGATAGTGGGTCCCTCCCGTGAAAAAAGCAGAAATAGTCATTGGGCGACGCTGACGCTCACTAGCTTGAGCCCATGTCCCCACAAATGATAAAGGTTGAGCACAAGTTTCAAACAGGTCTGTTCAATTTTTGATGGGTCACCTCAAAAGACTTGTCAGAAGCATACAAATCCTCATATCTATATATATTATCATATAATAATTTTTTTGCAGATATGACTGTAGCCTACAGTATTTAAGGCCTACTTCAAAAAATGTTTTGTTTGTTTGTTTTCGATCTACTGATGTAAGTGCACAACAGCATCGTAAAGTATAACCATGTTTCTGTACTCAATTTTTAATGGCAAATTTACAGGTTTTAAAACTGTCTACAGGCCCTTTAAATATTGCTGTATTGTAAAATTCTACAAAACCGTCATATTTCTTTTGTGATGCATATATGTACAGTAAATGATATTAATCTGTTCTGCATCCCCTTTGCTCATAGGCATTGGTGATGAAAGCATTGTAAAAGCCAATGCTGTTGCTATACAGCATTAATTTCTTCTTTCTTTCAGAAATATAAAAACAGATATAAAAGACCGAAAACTTGAGGGCCGAGTTAGCAGTGGCTGATGATTTTTACGAGACTTTCCGCAATCACCCAGTAGATGAAGAAATAATTCCTTGTGGAATGTGCAGGTAGGTGAGAATATTTATTGATTTATACAGTTGTATGCACTCCCATTGATACCATTGCTCAATCTCCTTTGGATGTCTAAAAATCAAACGGCAGCAGTGACCTACCTTATACTGACTGTTTGCAGTTTTCCCTGTTCCAACCCTAGGGCCATCAACTATGCCTCACCAGTCATTGTTCCTGCCTCACCAGTGAATGCTCCTGCCTCACCAGTCAGTTTTCCTGCCTCACCAGTCATTGTTTCTGCCAGGGCCGGCGCCAGCCTATTTGGCGCCCTTAGCAGGACTGCAGCTGGCGTCCCCACCCGCCTCCCACTTCACGATTGGGTTTGCCCACAAAGTAATCCAGGTACCATATTGAAGAAACTGTTTACCTTACACTGATCTATTTTAATTTGCTAATACATACATTAATTAGCAAATACTCTTAAGCACAATACAATAATGGCATGAAAAGTGACTGTAAAGAAACACTCAAAATCAAACTACTATTGTATTTAAACATTAAGCAATTCAATTAACATGTCATGACATTCTGGATTCCGCCGTTTTCTCGTTTTCGCTACGTGCCTGCTTATAACCGTTAACTTGATTCCTGGAAGCGAATTCGTCGATTACATCGTCATACGATAACTAGAGTGTCTAGACACTGCAATGTTCACACTGATGATGGCCAACTCACTAAGATGTTCCTGCGCCATTGTGGATCGCAAATAAGTTTTTATCAGTTTTAACTTAGAAAAGCTCCGCTCTGCTGCCGACACCGTTACAGGGAGAGTTGCACAGATCCGCAGAGCTACCCACAAGTTCGGGAATACTTCAGTAAGTTTCTTTTCATGCAGGAAGGTGAGAAAATCCATTGTCATTCTCTTGGAAGGCAAATCTGGGAGACACTGCAGCTCCATGGCCAGTTCCCTTCCATCAATGTCTGAGTTTCCCCCATGAGTAAGCGTGTTGCTGAGGGTTTGGCAGTGATCGACAATATCTTTGTCAGACATGTCGGTGAACCCCAACAATACCTTGAACTTTTCATTCACCTCGCCCAAGGTCTTGAACCTCTCATTAAGAGAGGAAATCACAGTATCCACTACCACATTGAAAAATGTAGTCTCCATCCTCTTGAGTACATCGCTGACAGGTTCGTCTGCACACTCATAGCTAAAGTGACATTTTTTAGTTCTTAGTCTCTTCTGTTTCAGCACCGTGTCTACGCTCATCGCTTCACAGATTTCTTTAGCAATAGTTAGTGCATCAGCAAAACCTGTATTTCTGTAGCTGACAATATCATCTCTGGTCTTTTTGAGCAGATCTACAGCCACGCCGAGCTGTATCGTACTCGACTGCATTAGTTTGCTCACGTGCTGAATTTTGCTGAGTATATCATACCACACAACTGAACAAATGACAAAACGGTATGACCCTACTTCCTCTGCCAACGATTAAGCCTCAACTTTGACGACAGGGTCAGTTGCAGATTCTCTGTGCTCCAAAAGCGCTTCTTTGATTTGCGCAGGTTGATATCTAATTGCCTCCACACTTTTTACTCGGCTTTCCCATCTGACGTCTGACCACGGTTTCAGATTAATATTAACATGTTTTAAAAGAACTTGCCACCTCTGAGGAGAGACTGAAAACAATGTGAATACTTTCGTTAAATATCCAAAGTAACAAGTTGCATTTAGGGAGCTCTTGGCAGCGTCGCCTAATATCAAATTCAAATTATGGGCACCACAAGGATCAAATAAGGCCCGAGAATTCTGTTGAAGAAGCCTGGCTTGAACTCCTTTGATGTTTCCTCTCATATTTGCTTCATTGTCGTAGGATTGACCTCGATAATCCTCAAAAGAAATGTTCATTTGTTTGTCTTCCGAGTAGAAGTCATGACAAATTTAGCCCTGTAGACTTCTCTACCGCAAGGAACCCCAAGAAATGCGCCTTTATTGTTGGCTTGTCTTCAAGAAAGTTGCTCTTTGTGACTCAAATCAGGGGTGCAGTCTAAAATTGAGAAGTATTTCGATGCTTTGATATCGTCCATGATTCTCTCAGTAATCTTTGCACTGATAATGTTAATCAGTTCATTTTGGATCATTTGGCCAAGGTAGTGAGTGTGACTGTGATTGCCTGCATTACTTTCAACCCTTCTTAAATGATTCTCCATAACGATCAAATTTAACCAAAAGTTCCACTTCTTGGAGAAAATACCATTGGATTGACAGTTAAGTTTTTCGGTTGACCCTCTAGAGCCAAATTGCTTTCAGCTAGAGACTGAATAATCGCCATTAGTCTAGTGAGGACTTGGCGCCACCCGTTCCACTCAGCCATTAACATTTCCATTTCCCGTCTGTCTATCGTCCTTCCTCTTGCAATGTTGACCTCCAGTTCCTTCTATGTTGTCATGTTTTTAGTGTTCTATGCTACTTTCATGTGTGCTGAGCAAATGACTAGCATTTTTTCAATCATTGATGCCTTCTTCAGCCATTCTAACATGTTTTGTAGAAAACATTTTACAACAGAAGCAAAAAAGTTTATCCTGTTTCACCAAATACATTAGCCAACTTCTTTGGATCTTCTCTCCATTTACTAAGATTCGGCGAAAGTAATCATGTTGACATCTTCTCCCATCCTTTTTTGGAAACACATATTTAAGATCAACTTGTAAGGTCCTCTGCGAACAAGTTCTGCTTTTTTCCTGGTTGGACATTGAGGATGGCCAGTCGGTAGGGTCAACAAGTGCAACCTTAATCTACGACTCTCAATATGGGTTTACAAAGGGAAAATCTTGTCTAACAAATCTGCTAACGTTTTTTAGGAAAGTCTTCGAGGTAGTAGATAATGACGAAAATTACGATGTTATTTACTTAGACTTTAGCAAAGCATTTGACAGAGCACCGCATCAGAGGCTTCTGAGAAAAATTAAGGCTCATGGTATCGAGGGGAAAGTTTTAAATTGGATAAAATCATGGCTCACCGATAGAACTCAGAGGGTCAGCGTAGATGGTGTTAAATCTGAGTGGGGCCGTGTAACCAGTGGGGTTCCCCAGGGGTCAGTACTAGGCCCACTCTTGTTCATAATCTACAGAAACGATCTAGATACTGGGATCAGCAGTGACATAAGCAAGTTTGCGGATGACACCATAATAGGGCGGCAAATTAATTCAGGGCAGGATGCAAATGCATTACAGAAGGATCTAAATATACTGCAGGGGTGGTCTGAAAAATGGCAAATGAAATTTAACACCAGCAAGTGCAGCGTACTTAATATTGGAAGAACATATACTTGTAATGTATACAGCCTTAACAACATCAACCTAGAGAAGTCGACTTGTGAAAGAGACCTAGGGGTTTTATATCTAGAAGTGTAAGTAACAAGAGTGCAGAGGTCTTATTGCAACTATATCTTGCGCTAGTCAGACCGCACTTCGATTATGCGGTTCAGTTCTGGTGCCCCTATTATAGAATGGATATAAATTCACTTGAGTCGGTGCAGCGAAGAATGACATAAATGATTCCGGGACTTGGAAACCTTCCATATCAGGATAGGTTAAAGAAACTTAACTTGCATTCCCTAGAAAGACGAAGAGTGCAGGGAGATATGATAGAAGTATTTAAGTAGGTGAAAGGAATCAATAAAGGGATATAGATAAAGTTCTTATAATATCCGAGCAGGATAGGACTCGGAGCAACGGATTCAAGTTGGATAAGTTTAGGTTTAGGAGGGAGATAGGAAGAAACTGGTTCACAAATAGGGTGGTGCAGGAACTCTGGAAAGTTTCAAAAGGAGGCTAGATAGATTCATGGATGATAGTGGTAGTAACTCTCGACAGGAGCTGCCATGCACAGGCCAACCAGCCTATTGCAGACTCCTTATGTTCTTAGGTGCAGCCCTGGATGCAGCACATTCGAGCTGTGGTGGTGACACTGTTACTGTTGGCTGTGAAGAATGGAGCTGTGGTGGTGACACTGTATCTGTTGGCTGTGAAGAATGGAGCTGTGGTGGTGACACTGTATCTGTTGGCTGTGCAGAATGGAGCTGTGGTGGTGACACTGTATCTATTGGCTGTGAAGAATGGAGCTGTGGTGGTGACACTGTATCTGTTGGCTGTGAAGAATGGAGCTGTGGTGGTGACACTATCTGTTGGCGCCCTTAGCATCTTTAGCGCCCTTAGCATTTGCTAACCTCGCGTAATGGAAGCGGCGGCCCTGGTTCCTGCCTCACCAGTCATTGTTCCTGCCGTGTCACATTCTAATTGTATGATAACCGATTACCACTTCATAATGACCAAAATTCAGATAACCTATAGTGAATGATATTCTATTTTATTGTTATATGTGAATTATTTGTGTATGGGAAATTATATTTTGTATTAATGATTTAGTGTGTGCACCATATTGTGAAACCAATAACCGAAAGTATGTTATTTAAAGAATGTGTAACTACTACAGTATACATGTTTTCTGAATGTTACAACATAATATGAATCTTGGGGAAGGGGTGTCATGGTCATAATGACATGGCTATATCTGTCAAAACCTAATAATTCATATTACTCTCCACACCCACAAAACCTGTAAACCTTTTTGAGTCTCCCAGTTGAAACATTCGTCTCTAACCACTTCAGGAGATAGTCTTCCGTTTTCTATGTCGCATTACCATAGAAACTCAAGTACTGTATACCTAAATTCCGGACAGGATGTTCATGCATTTGAATTGGTAAGAGAATACCCTTGCTTTGCGTCAACTTAGAGATGTCTGATTGCAGTTGAAGCATTCAAGATCCGTTGTGACTGATGTTGAAAGCTTCAATTGTATTTACTGTTAGTGTAATTGTCAATATAAGTCAGGGTAGAGTCGGCAGCGAGAGTGAGGTATCATTGGCGTCGGCCCTAGAGATGTTGACCGAGGCTGAAGTCACCCTCTTTTTACATATGAAAATCAGAGAATCTGATGTTCATGGTGTAATTGTTGTAAGGATGTTAATTATGAAATTAATTAACCTGAAGGGAACTGTCAGACCAAGTATCTTTCAGAATCTACTGGGTGTAATCGACAGCTCAGGCAGAGCTGTTGGGTGAGTGGAACTCGAAGCTGATCGAGGGAGGAGTAGTGCGGGGCACTGACGCTCTCAGGCATCAGTCCAGCGTCTGAAACTCCTCCACGCACAGGTAATGTCCAGCTCCGTGTTATAGTTTGAATATGCAAGTGATACAGTAACGTAACTGACGTGTATTAAGTGAAGTAATCTCACGACATTAGCGTCCTTTTGAAACGTTGACGTTCATGTCGACAAACTCGGCCCAGTGTCTGAAACTCCTCCACCCACAGGTTCCTCTTGGCCAAGAGCCTTGTAGATTGGGACGACCTCCACACTAATTTGGGAGATGGATGAAGGCCAGTGAACTCGGGTAAATTCGTGAACACGAGCGTCAGGAACTAACCACCTCCTCTGGGATCCAGTCAACTGGTCAGCCGTTCAATGTCCAGTTTGTTGATATCACAGGCAGAGCAAACAGTGCCAGCCCCCTTCATTGTTATGGGTGAGTCCACTACTCAGTAGGGGTATATGGTGGCTGTGTTATTCCTCTGAATACACCTGTATGTATTCACCTGAATTGTCTGAGTGTTTGGAGTCGGCAAGAGTAGGTTGACCATCAGTTTGTGTGTGGGCAAAGGTACCATAGTGGTGAAGAGAAGCTACTAATTCTGGTGATGTTAAAGTATTAGTGTTGGTGCTGTAACTGGCATCATTGCCACTTGTAATAGTGCTCAAAGGTGCTATGTAAGAGTATTGTGTGTGTTCTTGTACATGTAAGTGGAAAATGTACCTAAGTTTAACAGTACCAAATAAGTAAAGCCAGGGAGTTGACCCCCATCATTCTCTCCCATTGCTTGATATCAGAATTACAGTGTACCCATGTCATAACCCCCGAGCCACAATACCAAAGATCAGAGGTTATGGAGTAATTATATGAAATGAAATAACTAGACAAAACTAATGGAGAAAATAAATGAAGTAAGAAATTAAGAGGAAACCAGGTTGAGTTTAAAAGTTATCTTATAAATGGTTTCAGCGACTGGATTGTAATTTAAAATGGTACCCAGTTGGGAGGAAGGAATGAGCTAATGTAGGTGTTTTTAACTGATTTGTAATAACCATTTCTCTGTGCTGGTATCTAATAAACATTTAACGGTAACTGAGTATTTCAGATTGCTAATAATTTTGTTCCATATTCTTCCAAGGTACAGTACATTGCACAGTATATGTAATTCTGTACTAATTAATTAGGGACATAATTATTTCAGTAGGTTATGTGTGTGTTTATATGCTGCCTTTATTGATATATACATTATATATTGTTACTTCTTACCAAAGTTAGAATGTGTTTAGGCCTGTGTAATCACGAATGTGTTAGGCACATGGTACATAACAATAAACGACTGGAGTAAGACTTGGCATGTGGCTTCTCATTCTCCCATTAAATCGTGTAAGATGGCGACGAGGATGGGATTCACAAAGTGTTGAAGTCCTTGAAGAGAGGATAGTGACCACTGAAGGGAAGGCCTGCGTCAGTGGATACATTGGAAGAGTGGGGGAGTATGATGCAAACAAGGAGAACTTCACATCATATTGTGAGAAAATGGACTACTTCTTCCTGGGCCAATGAGTTAATGGCCCTTGAAATGAAAAGGAAAGCAATCTTTTTGACAGGTAGGAGCTAATGTTTATTCTACTCTGCTCCACACAAACCAAAAGACTCCTCACTGATTCAGATTGCCAAGATTCTGATGCAACATTTTGATCCTGCTCCACTTGAGATTGCTGAAAGTTACAAATTTGGCACAAGAGATAGAGGGAAAGATAAATCGGTGATTATATAGTAGCTTTGAAGAAGTTATCCATTCACTGTAACTTTGGACAGTTCTTGAACAGAGCTCTTAAGAGACAGGTTTTTGATAGGTCTGAATTATAAAAAAATGCAAAATAAGTGAATGAGCACCACAAAATTAACTTTTGAAAAAGCATGTCATTAGCAGAGAAAAACACCAGAGAACTTGTTCCCAGTGCCGGTTGTGAAACAGTTGGCAGTAGTGGATCGGTGTGTAAAGTAACTGTGGCTACAAAGGAAGAATTATGCCAGAGAACAAGGAACACATGCTAATTTAAAATGTAAAACATGCCTAGGCAAACATGAAAGCTTTCAGTGTAAGTTCAAAAATTCAAGATGTTAAAATTGTCAGCGTATTGGACATATTGCTCCTGCCTGTGAGAAAGAAATTACAGCCCCTGCCAGAAGTGATAAAGGTAGATTATATGTCGTCGAAGGTGATGAGAAGGAAATGAAAAACGGTATTCATGAGTGTTAGAAGTTTTGAACCTGATAATGATGTGTCCATGAAGAGAAAGTTAAACATAGGTATAATGTGAACTAACGCATTAATGGCACAATTGTAACCATGGAAGTGGATACTGCAGCTGATTTCTCCATAATGAGTAGAGAAGCTATTTGTGCATGTGCCTTTAGAAGACTCGGGTATCAAGTTGAGAACCTATACTGGAGAGATTTTGAGCACAGAAGGTAAATTAGAGTGTGAGGTAAAGTACAAAAATCTGAATTTAAAGTTGTCATTAATTATAGCTAGTTACGTGAATAGACCAACTATGTTAGATACGAACCGGTTGTGTGAACTTGTGATGGACTGGAAGGAGATATTTAGTGTTAGAATGTGTAACTGTTGCAGGTCTTGAAAAATTGCAGATGAAGCATTCAAGATCCGTTGTGACTGATGTTGAAAGCTTCAATTGTATTTACTGTTAGCTTAATTGTCAATATAAGTCAGGGTAGAGTCGGCAGTGAGTATCATTGACGTCGGCCCTAGAGATGCCAGTGATTGTTCACCGAGGCTGAAGTCACCTCTTTTTCATGGTGAAATTGTTGTAAGGATGTTAATTACGAAAGTAATTAATTAACCTGAAGGGAACCGTCAGACCAGGGGCCGGATACTCAAAACAACTCATAAGTTATGTATATTAGCGAGATACAGTACCATATATTGCAGACTCCTTAGTATTGTTTTTATGTTGATACTAACTAATTCAATGTTTTATCATTAGGCCTAGAATAGAAGGGTTATGCCTGTGAAAAACAAAAATTACGGCCTTAAGGTTTTGCCTGGCTCTTAGGGGTAAAATACTGAAAAATGCACGTGTTAAAATCTCTATTCATTTAAAATTGAAAAAAAATGTTCATTATTCAAGTAAATAAGGGTGTTAAAAACATTTAAAAGACATCCTCTTGCCTCAAAGTCTGTCACATACTCGCATTTGAAACTGATTTCTGGTAGGAACAGCAGCCATAATTGAAATTTTATCTAAAATTAATTCCCAAAGCATGATTTTGCAGGAAACTTACGGCTTAGGTAAATGACTTTCAGAGAGGCACATTTTCCTGAAAACTATGAGGAAAGTTTCCCAGATAACCGAGAAAATTCTGGAGATGGGGGATATATTTCCGGGTTCGAGAGATGATGTAATGGGCAATTGCAGGAACTACCGAGAAATTTTTTCCATTACCATAAACATTCTGGGGATGAGGGATATTTTCTTGATTTGTGATAACTGTCTCGTTAACGGGAAAACACTCATTCATTCACGGTAGTGCTCTTCACCAATTGTTCCGGCTAACAGAGATCTCACAGTATTTGGTGTTTTACCCCACTAGAATTTAGGTAAATAATCCCTTGCATAATGTTGGCCTGTGACAAGACACATAAACTATACTAAGATAGCCTTATTCTGGGCAAATTCAAATAAATTGGTTAATGATAGTATAGCCTTGCCTAACCTAAATGACAAATCACTTCTCTTAAATTACTCATTTAGCCTAGACCCTGGTGTTTTCCTTTCAATGTTGGGAACATTTGGTCTGAATTGTCTTCAAGTTTGTAGTGGAATTTTCCACTACAACTGCGTAGCAGCCCACCACCAAGCGTATCCGCATTCCAATGTGCCGCCTCCCCTAGCAACCAGGCGAGAGCTGTCCCCAGATGTTACCGTATCTTAGCAACGAAACTAGTCACCGGCTACTTCTCGGGTTTTCCCAACATGACTCATAGAGGACTGGCGGCTGCTGCCGGGTGTATATAAGCTCTGTCTCTCCATTGAGATTCATTCTGCCCATTTTCCTGAACAAGCAACATCTCCTCCAGCAAGCTCCATGCTGTTAACATTTCATTCAACCAGGAGGCCAGCAACAGGCAACACCTTCTCTAACGAAGCTCCTGCACATCTACCTCCTTCAACACGATACTCCCGAACGTCTTCTACTGAGCTGCTCCCCACCACACGGCATCTCCAGCACCAGACTGTCTATCATATAACTTATATATATTATATAAGAAAACCACATTAGAGTTTCCTTCCATCCTGAGTGCTAGACAACTTTAATATCTCGATACCCCTACAATGGTGACTCCCGGAGATTAGCACTCACACAGGATGGAGGAGACACTGATCACGCTCCCAGTCTTCAAGCAGACACCGGCTCCTCTTCCTGCCCCACGCACCACATCCTACGACCCCAGCACACCCGTCCTGCCTCAGACGCCGACCCAGCAGTACCTGCCGTGAGGGAAGCACACAACATCCATCGCCTCCACACCCCCTCTTTTCTCCCTCAGGTACTCCCTGCTAATGTCCTGCACCCTGCTGCTGTCGTGGACCCAGCTGCTGTCACGAGCCCTAATCCGCTTCTGCTGACCCAGCCCCTGCTCCTGATCCAGGCCCACACACACCCCAGCAGGCGCATCTGACGACCCTGTACCTGTCGTGAGGGAAGAACAACATTCATCGCCTCCACACACCCTTTTTCTCCCTTCTCCCACAGATCGTGTGTATCTAGACAGTTGTATTTCAGCGATCGGCTCATCACGCCATCGCCGTTGTCTCACATGAGGCATGCACCGCCCGGTCTTCCTCACATGTGCTAAGCAACTCTACAATCAACAAGTCTCCTACACCGCCTGGAGGGGAGGGGGAGTATTGTAGTGGACGTCTCCCCTACAAACTAACTGCGTAGCAGCCCACCACCTGCTATCACATTCCAATGTGCCGCCTTCCCTAGCAACCAACCAGATGTTACCGTATCTTAGCAACGAAACTATTCACCGGCTACTTCTCGGGTTTTCCCACCATGACTCATAGCGGCTGCTGCGGGGTATATAAGCTCTGTCTCTCCCTTGAGATTCAGTCTGACCAATCTTCTTGAACAAACAACACCTCCTCCTCTGCCGCTGCCTGGCGACCCTCGCCTCTCCTCCGCCTGCCTGGCGGTCCTCGCTCCCGCCAGCGAGCATGTCCTTCTCTGAGCTTCCTCACCAACCAACTCTCATTCTGCCCATTTTCCTGAACAAGCAACATCTCCTCCAGCAAGCTCCACGCTGTTAACATTTCATTCAACCAGGAGGCCAGCAACAGGCAACATCTTCTCTAACGAAGCTCCTCCACATCTACCTCCTTCAACAAGCTACTCACCGCACGTCTCTACCAAGCAGCCCCTCACCACACAGCATCTCCAGCACCAGTGTAACGGGCCGAGTTTTCTCTTTTCAATAATTTACCATCCAGCTATTCTTTTCAATGAGTATCCGGTTTTATATACTTATCCTTCTTCAATTCTTTACATATATATCCTTATTCTTCTATATTCTTATATAAGTAGCTTGTATGCTTCTCTGCTTATATTTTCCAAGTCAATGTTCTTTCTTTTCATTTCCTGTCATATATTATGATCTCATCCATATATTTTGTTCTAGTTATATTCTAAACCATGGATTAACCTGGGAAACCATGTCTTTGTTATTACCACACTTATTATACTTACAACGGTAGCCTGCCACCACCCAGGATTTTCTAGAATATAACATCTCTTAGTTAACTGTTAGGTAGCGAGCTTCTAGGCACGTGAGTTAGTTATTTTCTGAGAACCAATGTGGGAAAGGATAGAGTGGTGATACTCGTAGACGTAGATTACTAATTCAATATTTATTAACACAGTGATTGGATAAGATGCATCTTAGATTCACTCAGACAAAACAGAACTGCAATTTGTTTCTTAAGTCATCAAACACTTCAAGAACTTATTACCTCATTAAATACCTCCAAATACTTATTACTTCAATCGACAATTGTGGTATTGTCACTCTGCCAAATGATATTCAGTACTGGGTATACACCAGATATCACTGGACCCTCAGGTCTTACCTTACCAAGTAGCAAATTAACTCTTCACTTCTTGGTTATATCATTATACTCTCAGATTATCATTTCATGGTCACTACCAATGAATACATAGCACACTGGACAACTCCACAATTATCTCAACATACAATACCTCCTGTTAATTCACAAGGAACAACATGGCACTTTTAACTCTCATTCAGTGGTTCAATACTTAA